TTTGCCGCCTGAGGAGAGGGAGAGTGTGTTTTAAGAAAGCAAGACAGAAACAGAAAGAGTGTGTGTGTGTGTGTGTGTGTGTGTGTGTGTGTGTGTGTGTGTGTGTGTGTGTGTGTGTGTGTGTGTGTGGTGGTAGAAGTCAGGTCACCTGTGACACGAACACATAGCCCAGAGCGTTTCTTGCCTTGTGTCGGCACATCAACACCTCCACTATCCCTGAGAGGAGAGAGCAATAGGAGAGAGAAAGGGATAAAGAAACATTAAATTATGACTATGTCGTTATTAAATTAGTGTCTGACGAAACAACACACAGACGGTTTAACATTGAAATGGATGTGATTGACTGGTGTTTGTTCACTGTTTTACTGAGAAAAAAGTTTTAGTTGCATCCCTGATTGAAAACTGACTTAGAAACTAATTATTTGATCATGTTGCATACAATTGAACGGATTTATGTATCAACTTGGCAAGAGTGGACCTCCATATAGTTACAACATTTCCATAAATGTTGTGCTCAGACAAACTGGGGGGAAAAGAGGAATAAACAGGCTGATGGATGGACATATCTTTAAAGAGAATAATAGATGATCTGTATTACCTCCAACGAGACGCTTTCTCATTACAACATAACATCCCATAATTACCAGCACTCGTGCTAATATAGCGTGTTTTAATCGTTTAAATCTCCTACAGGAGATACAGTACACTGAGGTATCAGGTGGATGACTGAGAGGTGCCTGTCAAACAGTGCATGTGTACGTTTACAGAATTGAGAGTGTATCCGTGTTCCTTTGAACAATGACGAATCACATGTAAGTGTATCCCTACCATTATCTTCCCCCACTAACCGATGTAATTCCACCTCTGGAGGATCCGCCGCCTTTGTGTGCTGCCAGCGGCTGTGTGTGCGACTGTAGGCCGTCAGAGGGATACTGCCACCGGCCAGCAGTCGCGGTCCGTCCCGGGGATTCAGAGGGGAAGTCCGGCTGTGCATTTCCCGCAGAAACACTCCCAAGCACCGCCTCGATGAACACCCGGGCATTGCGAATCTGCGAAGGATAGTTGCCATTGTTGGTTCAGTTTTCAGTGGCAGGAATATTGTGTACTAGGAAACTTGCAGGAAGTAGGGTGCATGTTTCTTCCTGAAGGAGGAGGGACTTCATGTAACTGGCAGCTGCTGACCTTGGTTTCAAACAGCAGTAACCAAAAGGTTCACACATGGCAGTGCATCTCAGAGCTACACTGTTAGTATGACCCAGGATAAGATTTCTAGGTTCTTTAATTTTCTTTTGATCCATGAAGACCTTTTTTGTTATTGTTATAGGTTTTATACTTATTTTGGCCACAAGAGGCTGAAGTGCATTCAATTGCACTTTCATTCACTTTGCATTCAGGTTATTTTCCAGGAATGGATCCATGCAAATTAATATAAACAGGTTGTTTTTAATTACAGTATTTGCCTTGTTTTTAGTATGCATGGAGAATTTATGAACATCAAAAATGATCCTGGCAATACTTTTCCCCCATCTACCTGCACAGTGATTAGACAATTGAGATCAGACAACTATCTCACTTCCCGTTAGCGCTTCTGTATTCTTGCCTGAAATGTGTTTTATGTATCAGGATGTTTTGCCCTTCCTGATATCCGTTCCCATTACACTCAGCAAGATTCAAAGTGGGATTTGTACTTCACAAGAGACAAACACACATACTAGCACACATACAAACAAACACACTAGACCCCCTGTTAAGGTGTTGTTCAAAAGTTACACATTACCCTGGTTAAAGGCTGAAGGTTGGCCAATGCAAAGGTTTATGGTTAATGTTTAGGGCCCAATTTGAGAAATATTGTCCCATTTTCTATCATTCCTATTGGCTGGCTTGAGACACACCTTGAGTCCTGTCTCTGGAGGGTCCAGTCTTTGCAGAACAAAGAGAGTTGTTGTTGAGGTCAGGTTTTCCGTCAGGCTGCCCATGTCTAGTCTGACCATGCATTATTAAGCAGGTCTTTACAGGTTATGCAATCACACAGTCAGACAGTGGCTCTGATGGCACAGCTGAGCAGAGAGCCAGGCCTGCATCCAACCTGTGGACCAGGCATTGTGAAGGAAATTGGCCATTTATGAAATATTACAACAATGTTTTAACATTCAGGTACATCAGATTACATTTATATCGATTATATTACATCCCATCTGCCACAGGAAGGACATTTGTATTGCTGCCTGGCTTTGTTTACTCTTCCTAATTGAAAAGGATTCAATTGACTCTGGGCAGTGAATCATTTTTATTTTGTAACCGAGATGTAAATCTATCCTAAGTGTAAAGTGTAGGTGGCTCTGGTGTTGGGTCCAGCTTAAGTGGGTAAAGAAACTATAACTAAACACACTAATTAACACACTAATTACACATATTTTTACCGACGTATATTTGATCATTGATAAAGGAGCATTTGGATACAACAGAAAGAAAGAAATCAAGAAAGACATAAATGTTATTCAATAGTATTGCTACTAAAAAATCAACAATCATGGTTTACATTAATACCACCATTATTAGTTAGATTATGTAATAAATAAAGAAGAGCAGTTGCATTTGTTTTTCTATCGCCCATATGTTGCAAGTTCACGGACCTAAAACTAGCACTGGCCACTCAGCATATCATTCAAGTGTACACTTTTTCAAAAATATATGTTGGGTTTTGGATGAAATACAACTATTTTCTTGGGTAAATATTTAAATCGAAAGCTCAACCTGAAATAGAGACAGCGGTGATGTGTTACATTTGAATGTTAAGCCGGCGAAGGTCATTGGAGAAGTAAAGAGAGATCACTCAGGTTTGCGTTAGTCTGCAGATTCTGTTGCAGGGAAGTGAAATGTCACCTGATGGATGTCTAAGGCTCTGCCGTGGAGGCCAACAGGCTGCTCAGATCTGATTTCCGCAGACGTGTTTCCCTCTTCTCATGTGAACGCTAACCTTGAGATGGAAAATGGATGGTGGAATGACGCTTGGGTGTGAGTGACAGAAACTGAGCCTGATGGCCCGTGACGAACACTTCCAGTCTGTCCCCGGACAACAAACAAAGGATTGGCACACAACACAGCAGGAACACTAACTCAGAGACACAGAGGACATGCCCGCCATTAATCATCAAAGATTGACAAAGCAGTAGAGTGTTTTTTTGAACCAGTGTGTTTCAGTAAGTTGGCCCTATAGCATTGTTTATTGCCTTCAACTGGAGACATTAACACTCTGCCAATAAACATCTTGGGCATGGCACACTCACAGTAAGATGATGCCAGCCACACAGTGTGTCCCCTCCTATCCTGCAGGGGTCAGCCTTGTATCAGAAGGTTGATTGGAGGATTGTTTCCTCTCTCCTGTTGCTCTTTGCTTTCTTTAGATTGCTGCAGGCCGGTTCCCACTGTGATAGTGAAAAACTAAAGACATTTATATTAACATGTACAGTATATCCCTTTAACTGCCGGACCAAGAAAAAGCTATGGAATTTTTTTTTTTTTGCATTTTCTTATCAAATGGGCCACAAATAAGCACAAACAATTATTTATTTTTTGACTGACCACACAGTTTTGTTTTTATGCGCCTCTACCAAATGGTCGAGCTGGCCTTCTATGGTAAAAGTAATCATCATATAACAGTAAAGTGTTTGTATGCATCAAACTCAAATAACACACAAACTCAAATACATTTGTTTCTTTTATGGAAAATGAGCAATATATACAACCAGATATATTCCTAAAAGATAATAAATTAGAATTGTAAAAAAAAAAAATGGAAAAAAGTAATGTAAAGGGTTTTTCATGATAAAAATCTCATCTTACTGTATAACTTTATGCTGAATTGGCCTAACAGGAAACTACTGGCCTAACAGCAAATGTCTATATCCTGTGTTGGCCTAACTTGCTCATCTGTGTGCAATTTTGGGCTGAATGCCATGCATGAAAGGTGCTATATAAATTATTATCACTCTTTCACTCTGAGACTCATAAAGCTGTACTATATTTAGTAATATTACCACGAATCTAGCTATGTATTTACCATATTTTATTGGAAAACATCTCTGAAACTCTGAAAAAGTCATATTGCTAGCTTACCATAAAAGGCCAATTCGACCGATTGGTTGAGCATATTTTTTTTTTTTAAATTACACCCTTGTTAAAACTTTTGTGCATCAAGTTATCTAATTATGTTCAGTCAGTGCCCTGCCACAAAAATATGTCAAAAATGATATGGTTACCTTACAAAAGTTGACCAAAAAGAGTGATTTCTTCAGCAGTGATTTTTAGCATTGCCAACTTTCTCAGTTGAAGCTAGCCGAAGGGCATTCTGTTTGAACCACAGAGGTTGTTTTGTGCATAACATGTCAACCAAAGGGTAGAGCTGGCTGAATCAGATGGAGTTCAACTTTTTTTTTTTTTTCAACAAGATATCAAGACACAAAATGTGCTCTACCAAATGGTGGTGCTGGCAGTTAAATTGATATAGACTCCTGCATTTACTTTTTCACTTACAACATTCTCTGCAACATTTAGATTATTGTATTTTCTTTTGACATGTATATTGTTACATCTGCATTACTTGCACATTGGTCTTGCAAGATGCATAATTGTATTCTACTCTGTTTCTTCGTGCACTATTTTATTGTGTTTTAAATTTGTTTTATTGTTTTATGTTTTATATACATTTATGATGCATTGTTGGAGGAGCCTGGGACTTAAGATTTTCATTTCCATAACTACACTCTAGCTACTGGGCGGCATGTGACAGTAAAGCCTTTGAATATTTTAATCTTTGAAACTTGCACCTATACCCTTTTCCCAAAGAAATGTTGTCCCTTCAGAGGCAGGAAGCCGAGTTGTTTGTAGACCTCCGTAGACAGGCCTCCGGTCGCAGACTCATCCGAGCCCAGGGCTGAGTTCGGGCCTGGTGATGGGGCACGAGGCCGGGCATGAGTCAGAGGGAGTGAGTGGGGTCCTGTTACTGGAGCTGTCTGTCAAGAGCGAGTTAGCACTGTGCTCTGCTCGGGGCCAGTGCACTCTATTTGATCGTTTTGTCTGACTTTGTATTAAGATGCTTTATGGCTGGATTGCTTTATTGCAACATACACAATAGCTACAGCATAGTTTTGGCAATTTAAATCTGGCAGTGCAGCATACAATACACTTAGCATAACAAGAAAAATACATCAAATAGTGCAAGAAATGATTGCAATAGACATACTGGTGCAAGTAAGATGTGGAAAAATGATTGATAGAAACATAAAAGATCGAATAAGATAAGACAGAATGTAAAACTAAATATAGTACGGTAGAATAAATACTGTATTCTGTAACTTTCAGATAGATATACTGTAAAACTAACACACGTAGTTCTCTGTTTTCAGCTTAGTCTAGATTCATGGTTTTTTGCTCTATACACATAAAAAATAAACATCCCTCAGGCCGGGCTGTTTTAAACCCATGTAACGAGGTAATTTACTTATGAAACCATGGAAGAAAACAACAGTTGTGCAACACTGCTATTTTTGTTCTCATGTGTTTGTGTTGGTGTGTGTGTGTGTATGAGTGTCTGTAGTTGGAGGATTAGTGATGGAGATAAGAGAAAATGTTTGTTTTACGGGATGCAAATGTGTTTATCACGTGAGCACATTAACGTCAATAAAGAGTACAGAAGCAGGGGCTGTACTAAAACTACTGATACTGCAGAACTGGCCGATATCAATGCATGGTGTTACTCTGACTTTCTCTCAACAAACCTCATTATTAGACCAACACAAACAATTCATTGATCTTATTAACAAAATAGTTTTTCTCTGTGCCATACATCTTGAGTAATGTCCGAATCTAGTAACACTTACCCAGCAATGTTAAAAGTTATTAAATCAGATCCTCCTTTACCAGCAGCAACATTAAATAGATTGGAAGGAATCAAAAATGTATATAAAAAAAATTACAGAATAAGTTTCATTCTAAAATGTTCCAGGCTGCATAATGATTATTTTAGTTGTTTCCTTAGTTTGATGCTAATACTTTTGTACTTACATTAACATTTAAATGCAAGGCTTTTGCTTGTAGAAAAGTAATCCCAAACTTAATTGGACCAATTTCCTGTCAGTTTTCTTTATAGCAACACTGAAGCCTTATAGGCAAAAATAAAAAGAAACAGACCAGCCACTATAAAGGCAGTCTGGGTGACTGATAGAGGATCATAATCTCGGTTCAATTACATTAAAATGATGGAGTTGGTCGGATGGAGTCAGACTTACGGCCTGAAAGACAGTTTAGCAAGAGGGGAGAAGATTTACGACCAAGCTCACCACAGTGAGGAAGGGAAAGGAAAGAGAAGCCATAGCTATGGAAGAAGAGAAAGGGACAGAGAAAACTTTAACATGTCATTATTAGGTTTAGGAATGGCGTATTTGATGTAATTGGTGTGAAGCAAAGGTGACGGACACCTGATGGCAGGTTGCTCTTTCCCTTAGGTTGGGGATCAGACCGGCTGTCTTTCAGTTGACAGCCGACACTGCATACACCCTTATTAAAAAATAAAGACATAGCCCACACACACGATCACAAGTCACAAAGGCAGCGAACATCCATGCAGAGATGTATAACACCCAGGTACCACACAAACGTATAACTCAAGGCCTCCTTTAGCATGTCACTGTCACATAACTGTATAAACTTACACACGTATACACATGGATACACACAACAGCATGTCTGGAAGATGACACCGTTGGGAGCAGAGAGAGAGGAAAGTTACATTAATGATTCTGATCTGAGGCAAGTATCTGCGAACACGATCTAGCAGGGCCATTTAGACGCCAAACCCATGACAGAGGGAGCAGGCGGGCAAGCAGAAAGGGACACTGATCAAATGGGCTCATTTTCCTCCAGGCTGCTCTGTACTCGGTGGATCTTTCCTTCAATAATCATGTATCAGTCTGAAGATATCGTCGCCTTGTATAAGCTGTACAGATGCCGTCAGTATCAAAGCGCTAATGTTTTCACAATTAACATGTTGTCCATTCCCTCTGTCCAACGATTTTGCTATGAATAGTTTCCCATTTCCCATTTCCCATCTATCTTTAGGTTCCATATTTTTAGCTTAAACTGTTGTATAGAAAAAAAGGTACAGAATTCTGACTTGGCCATAACGTTTTTAGACTAAACTCTGTTTATGAAGCCAAACCACATTAAATTGTGTCCACTCCGTTTGAATGTAATTACTCTAGTCGAGGCATTTTACGGTAGAATTTTAGCTTTTTTTTATAATTTCTTCCCCCAATTATCATTTAACAACCCCTTGAAATATTCTCTAACATCAAAGAGACGAGTCCAGATGGGAAACCATACTTTAAAGGAATAGTTTTACATCTCAGGAAATTACATGAAAATAAAATATGTTGGTCACATAATCCTCCATAAAGCAGCATTTGGTGTAATTTCATTGGGGTTTTTGTACGTTTGATTGGGGTTTTGTAACGAAATAAACCTGGTATAACGTGTTAATTTGTGAGCTCTAGCTGCTGTATTTATAAAAGGATCAAGGAAGCCAAAAAACATATTCCACAGTATGTCTGTCCTTAATATCTTAATGTTATAACTTCTTAGTAAAAACAGGAAAAAGTGGTTTAATTGGTCTTAATTATGCTTTTGAAAGATGGATGACCTCAGTTTGACCCTTAAAGAAAGCAGGCTTTTAATATTGTATTCAAATGTTAAATGGTTATACATTATCAGTAATAAGGCTATTTTTGCAATAATATTTAGTTCTCTTTGAATAATAATCATGATCATTCATATTTTTGATAATCATAGAAACACAATTGCATGGAAAATCTAGGGTTGGGATGGCAACTTCTTTATGCATCTGCCAACTCTATTCAAAATCTAACTTGAACTGCTTTTCTTGATCACATTGATTGATAAAGTGATGAGATGTAGGCAGCAAAGACAGAGGTGGACATCAACATCCCATCAGCGTCCAATGTTCAGACAAAAAATGTGGACAGCTGATTGCGGGACTTCACAAATAAAAAAATGTAGAATGCCAAAAATAATTAATTAATAAGCACACACACAATCAAATTTGAATGGTTTATCTTGTCAACAAGCCGCTGGGGGACAGAATGAGGAGAAATTAGCCACTGGACCACATGAGATAAGGCTTGTTAAATATGTGTATGGCTAAGAGGCTGCTTCTACACACACACTCATACACTCACAGACACACACACACACACACACACACACACACACACACACACACACACACACACACACACACACACACACACACACACACTCTCATTCCAGATAAAGACAGTAACATGTATAAAGAATGGTTGTATAAAGGATTTTACGCCGACTTGAACAGTGATACTTCGCTCATTATATTTCAATTAGAAGCCATGTAATCAGATATAATGAGATGTGATGTAATTATAAAATGTATATCCTCTTTTATATATTAAGGTTGATTGACCTGCTTTGGCCACACCATTCGTGCAAATAAAGCTTTTGGGTTTCTCTGCACTCTTTTCTTCGGTTTTTCTAAAGAAAGTAACACCCGGTGACGTCACCATTGCAATAACACCGTTGGCACAACTCATGTGCAATACAAACACCAAGTAGTTATGTGTGTGTGCAGAGCTGCAGTGTGTGTGGATGGAGAGGCAGAGAGGGGAGGGAAGAGCGAGAGAGTCTCACACCGCGCAGCACAGCCTCACACACAGAGCTCTGCGCGCAGAGGGAAGACGCGCTTTCCATCGCGCTCCTGGAGGGAAAAAAAGCGACTTCTCTGCTGGACAGCGTGTACCAAAGACCCTCACACACTCACACCATCACAGTCAAGGACATATGTGAGCCAGGAGATTTTTCAGCGTGGAGTCTACATCCAGGATTCAGGAATTGTTGCCTATGTCAAGTCAATTGTTTGGAAACTAAATAAACAATGCACTCTGCTGGTGACAACTAATGACCCAACATGAGTCACCGACGGGGTGATCGTCAACTGTCATCGGTTCTGTGGTCTTCTCAGGAGGGACAAAGTCCGGTAAGCTGCGCGATTCTCACCCATGGAGCGATAAGCGTCTCTCGGTCACCTTCTGAAATGATGTCTTGTGGCGACGTGCGAGGCGCGCCAGAGTGCGTGTGAGTGACTGACCGATAGTCTGGATATAAACAGCAGCCAGGCTTTCAGGCAGCGACAGCCAGGCACCCAGAGCAGCCATCTCGCCTCTCGCTCAGCTCCTCAGACCCATGCAGGATGCCCGGAGAGCGCCGGGGAGTCCTGGTCCAGCTCTGCCGGAGTTCATGACGCTCTGGGCGGCCTCGTCATGCGTCTCTTGCCCGAGCCCAGCGCCCAGTCCCTCCGGCTCCTCTTCCTCTTTATCTTCGTGATGGGGGTGACCCCTTCCCCGGCTCTCACAGCCGGCTGCCCCGATAGATGCGTGTGCGACGACCAGCTGGTGGTCCAGTGCGCCGGGCAGGAGCTCACCCAGTTCCCCAATGACCTGCCCCTGGCCACCAGGCAGCTCATCATCTCTAACAACCGCATTGGGGACCTCCCGGCGCTGCAGCTCAACTACTTGTCCGATCTGGTCTATTTGGACTGCAGCAACAACTCTCTAACAGAGATCTCCGAGTCCACCTTCGGGAATTTGCGGAAACTCGCCTACCTCGACTTGTCGTTCAACACCCTGCTGCAGATCGAGGACCGGACTTTCGGGCCCCTGGCGTCTCTGGTGATGCTGCGGCTGACGGATAACCCGTGTTTGGGGGAAATCCACCCGGATGCCTTCTCGGAGAACATGGCTCTGCAGGTGCTGGACGTGAGCCGGAACAACCTGACGGCCCTGAACATCAGCAGCCTGATCGCCTTGCCTGCTCTGAGGTCTCTGGGGCTCAGCGGAAACCCCTGGAGCTGCGACTGTGACACGGAGGACCTCTGCCTGTGGGTGCAGATAGAGGGCTTCAAGTTCCAAGGTGAGGATGGATGGAGGGAGCGAGAAGTCAAAACATATTGTCAATTCCAACACATTCGCACAAGGGCATTGAGGGTGAATTTATCAAAAAAAGATGATTTACATTTTTTATTTTTAATGACCATTAAGGACTGGCAGTGACTGCCAAGAATAGTAAAAAAAGAAACTCCTCTCTGCATGCTTTGCCAACATGTGTCCTGTAAACTGATGCCTGTCCCCTGCAGGTGGCAGCAGTCTGACCTCCTGCAGGTGGTCTCTTGGTAGTTTGGCACGGTTTACTGGCCAGTAAACAAACCGTTTCTCTGTTTAGACTTTGTGCCAGAGAAGCTTCAAGGTTATCATTTGTTACTGTCACATCATCTCATTTAGATAATTTGATTATGGGCACTTGGTCAATTTAGGCCCTGATGGTGGGCCACTTATTGCACTATTGCTCTCCCTTTATTTGCACACACACTTCCATGTGCACTTCCCAGAGTCAGATGCAGACATATACACACAAACAAACTCCAGAGTTAATGGTTTAACCTCAGAGCCAGAGCAATCTGAAGATTTCATTACCCTGCTCCCTACTGCAATACAATCCCTTCAAACTGCCCTTCACGTCTCAATAATGTCAGAGGCTTAGGCACCAATAAATCAGTTGTGTTACTTGTGTTACTTGGAAAGCATCCCTTTAACAGCAGGGAATTTAATTAAGTGTCCCAAGAAATCACCAACAATCGGCCTCTTAGCTCAGATGATCTTTGGTAAATGTTAATTGAGCTTAGTCCTAAGCAGGTGAGGTTTGTTTTTTGAACAATGTGTCCCTGCTTATAACAGCTGTCGATAAACCCCATCGATCTTACTGCAATGTCTTTCAGGGTCCTGAAGGCAGAAATAATGCTGAGAGGAGAATTGTGTCCTTTTGTACCTGTTTTTTTACTGGCTAGGCCCTCGTATCCGCACGCACACGCACACACACACACACACACACACACACACACACACACACACACACACACACACACACACACACACACACACACACACACACACACACACACATAAACAACATGTGCATGTGTGCTCTGGTGCCTCCACCGTCTTGTGCTTTGCCCTTTCAGTCCAGATTGTTAATGATGGTGCTCAAAAAAGCTGGACTCCTATGCTCCCATTAGGACAACGTACGTGTGTGTGTATGTGTGGGTATGTGTGTGTGTGTGCGAGTGACTCATTCCAGTTAAGTGTGTGTGAGTCAGTGTGTGATCTATAGGTTAAGGGAGACCCTGAGGCTGGGGCCTTTGGGAAATGGATGAGATTAAAAGACAAGACACAAGGAGCTTAAGAGGAAGGCCACTTAAATGCAGCAGCTCCCCAAAGTTGTGATCCACCTAAACTTTTCAAACCTCAGTGAAGTATGCTCAGAAACTGGTACACACACATTCACTCACACTTACTGTGGGCACTCTGCTCTGCTATTCATCCCACCAAAGCCCGGTCCTTACACAAACATATTTCTGCCAAAAACATCAGAACAATATTTTGAGAGAAGGGCTTTTGAATCGTAAGTGACACAACACTCCCACAGTTGAGTTTATTTTTCCCGCCTTCCCCTGGTTAGAGTCCAAGCGAATATCTACACAATCACAGCATGTATTTAGCATCACACTACCCTATAAAGTTTCAAATGTGACCAGGGGAGTTTGATCTTTAATCTATCAGGAACACACACCACTGTAACACACACACTTCATCAATTTGAACCTTCAGATAATCATCACCTTTGCAGTTTTCCTTGGCTTTACAGAACTTTATAATGAGTTACAACTCATTTTTTACCTGTCGAAGGTGCAACTCAAGATGCTCATAGCTGTTTTCGGCTTCAGCAGACGCTGTTTACAGGGATGAAGCTCTTAAAATGAACATGCTGAGCCCCAAAAAAGCAGAAAGAAACAAATTAAGAGACTAGGTGGTGAACATAGAAGCATTTACCAGCTAAATAAAAAAAGACAAAAAAGTTTCCTCAGGAGTTTGTGAAAAACAAAAAGCTAAAACCTAAAGATTGCTTTGAATCTGCTGCACACTTTGTATTCAGGCAAACGTTTTTACAAGGCCATGATAAACCTAATCCAATATGTTAAGCTTGAGTTCTGCACCCAAATGGCGACAAAAAATAACAACAATGCAGGTTTACTTATTTATAAAAGAGAAATAAGATAATAAATATTAATATATGTCAGTAGTTTGTTCTAGATAACCATGACCACATCCTTTGACACAGCCTTTTAAATAATGTAGCTTTTTTGCACTTTGCAGTTGGTTTGGATAAAGATGATTTGGTTTCTTTGGAGTTTTGTTACGTAACTCTCTCATGTGGCTTGGAAAAAAACTCAAAATGCCACTTAATCAGAGAAAAGGGTTCCTTGAAGATAATGGCTACTGGTTGGCAGTCAGCCTGATGTGACCCTGCCTTGTTTATTGTGATGACAGTACAGTGGATTTACAATTTTACATTTTCAAGCAGTCGTCTTTTAAATATGTTTGAGTTTATTTCCATTTTATACTGTTACAATTGTTTCAGCATTACATGATTTAAGTGTTTTCATCTCATATTTCTATTAAAAATGTTGACTAATGCACTTGGTGCGTATAGAAAGCGGACCCTGTGAACTTTGTCAGGTGTCATATTCCTCTCATGAATCAAGAGCATCTCTTTACTAAAACCACAGGCTGTAAAAACTAATCAAAAGGGAGGGCAAGTCTTTAAAACATGATGCAATAGGAATATTGATTATTAACAGAAATTTCTTAAAACTGAGATCAATATACAATATGTCAAAACTCATATTGTACAGAAAATCTAAATAGGGAAGACCTATGACGCTGCCTTGGTTATTGTGATGACAGTACAGTAGATTTGCCATTTTACATTTTTTTTGTATAAACTCTGTAAAAACTCAGATATTCCTCTCCTGAACAACTTCAAATATTCTCTATCACCTGTCTATACTCCGGGAATTTACCCAACTCTTTGTCGTAAAAGGAATTCAGCTTGTCGAAGGACCTTCCATACTCACTGTAGGTCGCTTTTGACAAGTACCTGAATTACAAACACAGGATGTAAGGGGCTTGTCCTGGGCTAGCAGAGTCGGTGGTCTTATGGCTCCACTTTTTGGGGAAGAGTTTTTCTGGCTGCCCGTCTGTGCCCTGGACAGCTCACACACCGGAGGCAAAGAGCCAAGGCAGAGGGGACGCACCGGGCAGGAGTTAAATATTCATAATAAGATAAAGAGAACCAGAGGTCTGCAGGTTCAGAAACAGGTTTTCACACCGATTGAACTTGATTTATCTTAATGAAAGTGAATTTGAGATTTCTTCAGAGAGGAGATGAGAAGGCTGAAATAACGTGACAAAAGAATAGATGACAAAAAAAAACGAGATAAGACAGAGAGAATTGAAAATGTGGGCAAACAGAAAAAGATGGACTTAGATACAGAGAGGAAGGAGAACAAACAGGGTACAAAGGAATTGGTCTGTGCCCCAGATCTGTCACTCAAATCCATTAAAACATTCATTATGACAAGGAGGCATCGATTCAATTTAATACAGGTAGATGATACATTATTTATCAGCTGGAACTATTCCTCAGACCCATCTGGTGTGGGGAAGCATATCGAATTCAGCTGGCCTACTTGTACTGTAGTGCAGGCTGTGTATGTTTTTATGTCTCTGTGCATTTCGCGGTGCAAGCTCGAAGATTGATGGGATGCCAGTGTGGGTGTGTTTGAGATGTGATCACCTGAGGCACAGAGGGGAGAAAGCTCAGTGTGTGTGTGTGTGTGTGTGTGTGTGTGTGTGTGTGTGTGTGTGTGTGGTGTGTGTGTGTGTGTGTGTGTGTGTGTGTGTGTGTGTGTGTGTGTGTGTGTCCAACCAATATGGGATCCAAGAGAATAAAATTAGAAAAGAGAGCGGAGATGACAGAGCAAAACTGAGAGAAAGACGTAGAAGAAGAAGGGAATGGAGTGATAAGGGCTGAAGGGAGAATGCGTGCTAAACGTGCCAAAGAGGGAATGAAGAGTGTGAGGTGATAAAGACTGATAAGAGAAATGATAAAGGAAGAGGAAAGAGAGAGCTGTTGCTATCTGACCTTCACTTTCTCCCTTCACTCATCCTCTGCCAGAGGAAGAAGGGATCGTATGGAGAAATGATGGAAAGAAGGATGGTGGCAATCTGACTAATGCCATATTTGAGAGGAGAGGAATCAGAAGGCGTGCGTTATTCAGCCCTAGTGGATGTGATGGAGAGAAGGTCAGCTATTCTTAGTCTTCGCCAACCCCTGTATGATGCGTTTATCTGGCTAAACGGCCAAGTACTTGAGCTTCATTTTGAAAGGAGGGGCTTTAAAAGTCATACATCTTATATCACAGGCTCCTTTCAAGCAGTCATCTTTTAAATATGTTTGAGTTTATGTCCATTTTATACTGTTACAATTGTTTCAGCATTACATTTAAGTGTCTTTATCTCATATTTCTATTACAAAATGTTGACTAATGCACTTGGTGCGTATAGAAAGCGGACCCTGTGAACTTTGTCAACTTTGGTTGAATCAACAGCATCTCTTTACTAAAACCAAAGGCTGTAAAAACTAATCAAAAGGGAGGGCAAGTCTTTAAAACATGATGCAATATTCATATTGATTATTAACAGAAATGTCTTAAAAATGAGATCATATGTCAAAACTCATATTGTACAGAAAATCTAAATAGGGAAGACCAGCCCATGTCTCATATCCTCAGTAAAAACTTGAACTCCACTTCTCATATACATTTAACACATTACTGTTACATGCTACATTGGTGCAGATGTTAAGACCAGAATCAGCGCTGCATTGCATCTTCACAACACAAGGAAGTGCTTATTATACTGAGAGAAAAGATATTACAACTATAGAAAGTAATGACAATGGCTTATTCATTTTCTTATATATCTTTTGCTTAAGATTAACTCAATGTAGCTCCT